ATAATTCATCCTCCTTTTGTCAGATTAACTCTTTTAAAAGCTGAGCAGTTTAATAGAGGCCACCTGAAATCTGTGATCCAGAGGAACTTTGTGCTGCATCACCTGTTGTTTAAAAACGTCTCCTTTTCAACAGTCCTTGATCATGTTAAGTTTTCTTTAAAATCCGGGACATTTAAGTTGGACTATTACTCGTTTTTAAGGGTGTATTTAGGCTCCCTTAGCTCACCTCACCTGATAAGCAATCTTCAAGTGAAAGTGAGTTAGATGCAGACAAGTAAGGACTGTTATAGAGCTTTGATTTTAAACTCCAGAGTCACAGTATTATCATTTCAGACATTGTACATGGAATAAAGCACCAAACATCAGATAGGTTTGATGCTCACCTCGGTGCTCTGGAGGGGCGCGTCTTAGGCTCTGCACAACTACTATTGAGCATTTTTCATTTGGATTAACTTAACATGCACAAGTGTACTCTCATAAACAATTACAGGTGCTTGGCTCCAGGTACTTAGAGATTCACTTCCATACAGAAAGCCCATATTCTTATCTTCAGCTACCACAGTATACATGTCAAATTAAATAATACCACTTATACTTCAGCGATATTATCAAGGTGTTACTTTATTGTATCTCTTATACTTTATCCGTTGGTTGCGCTGTTCTTTTTATATCTCTTTGCAGGTGATTTAGCAGACTGAAGATGTTTTATCGTTATCTCCCTTTTATCTCCTCTTTCTTTCATCTTTTCTCCTTTTTTTCTGTTTTTTCTTTCCTGTTCTACTTACATTGCAGTGTCCATATAATCTGTAATACTCCCTGCATGAATTATAGTAAAGCTATTTATATGCATCAATCAAGCGGAACACTATGGCCATGGCCCTACTGCTCCACTTGTGAAAGCAAAATCTGTTGGGCTCACTGTAAAAAAAAAAAAAAGATAGGTTTGATGTATTGACAATTCCTAGTACAGATTCGATTACTAATTTTCCTGAAGATGACAAATTTCCATTGGATTAAACATAACACAAAATACACCAGCACAATTAAATTATAACAAAGAATAACCCGTGTTGAAAACCCCGAAATTTCAAACACAGCTTATTTATATTGAAGGACGCAGTGACTGTGGTGATTAGAAAACTAACGCTTTGTTTGCAGGGAAAGAAGAAAGCAGCAACAACCAAAATAAACCACTCAATAGACTAAAGAAATACATTAAGAATACCAAACCAAAACACACAGGCATTAAAACTCAAAGAGAGTGATGGTAACATAATTTGCAAGTTAATAATGCAACAAAATACCAAAGAGGGCAAAGTGTCTCTTTTATATTCATGTTCTGTTGCCATGCAGCCCTTCTCTCTCCTGCAACTTCACCATTCCTTTAGTTTATGTCACCATATAAATTAATTCATTTTTTTCCTCTTGCTTCTATCTTAGTGGCCCTTTGAGGAAAAAAAAGAAAATGAAAAAACATAAAAAATATGAACAGCAAACAGATCAGGAAAAAGCTGTACATAGGCCTCAGTGGGCTAAAGTTAGCTACTCGCTTTGATCTGTTGAAGATTATATAGGTATTGAAGTTTGTTTTTCTATTCTTCTAAAGGATCTCACTTTGGATTAAGTTGCTCCTTGATTACATGGAACCCTGTTGCACCAAGGTGTCACCTTTTTGCTATAGCTCACCTGCCCCATTTACAAACGGATTCATCAAGACTTACTTACGATACCATGCTCACTTATTATAGCATGCTTTTTGGGAAAGATGCACCATTTCTCTTTATAACCAAGTATTTGATGACTTTATCATGATAAATATGTAGAAAAAAAGACTTTATTAAGTCTACCTTTAAATTTTATTTTATTTATTTTTCAGAAAGTCAAAATTACCCCCACATTTTATTCCAGGTACGATCTCCATTTGGGTCAGTAGAGTCCGATGAAATACAACAGAGTGTGATCAGAACAGAATACTTAAAAGCAAGCTAGCATTATTTATGGGAGTCACATAATTACATCTTCATTCAGGAGACTATGAGGAGATCATAGCTTATTACTTTAAATCATGGGCTGTCAGAGCAGGTATGGAGAAGTGTGTGTGACACACTACGTGTGCTGTACAAACGGCTTGTTTTATTCTCCAAAATAGCCAGGATAAAAGACATGCATGTATGTTCTCTACATACATACACTGTTCAAAAATATGAAAGGGAAACTTTATAAGGGGAGTAAAACGTCAGGTAACTTAAACTTCCGGTTTATTGATTTGGCTGTAGAGATAGGTCGACCCCCTTCTACGTGCAAACGTTAAGGGGTTGTCAATCGACATCAGCTTTTTTGGTATTCATGAATGGTATAAAGGGGCAAAAATTAGACAAACCTAAAAAACAAATGGTTTTAAAGGTGGAGGCCAGAGACTATTTTTCCCCCACCACATTTTGTTTTGACTACTTTTTTTTGTAGTTTTAGATTGACCAGGGTCAGTGTCGCTTGTAGAAACATGAGGCCTGAACCCTACAGAGGCTACACAATCAGTCCACCTCTGCCAGGATGGCACATCAATCATGCCATACACCAGAGATGGCAAAAGTACTCACTTTCCGTACTTGAGTAAAAGTACAGGTACTTGTGTTAAAAAATACTCTGGTAAAAGTGGAAGTACTGATTAAACTTCTTTACTCAAGTAAAAGTAACAAAGTACAGGCTTGTAAATTTACTTAAAGTATAAAAGTAAAAGTAGAAACCACTTTTTTTAAGCCGTTGCCTACATTTTAAATGGATGTCTGCCAATAGGACTAGATCTCCGTTGTGTTCATTTTCAATCATCTCGTCGTCCATGCTACTATGCTAACGCCACCGCCACCAAGCTGCAATGATTTGCCGCCAATGAATACCGCCGAATCTGTCGATTCATCTTGTAGTGGTGCGTCAAATGCAACGTAGATTCCCATCCAATTAGATTGAATTTGGTATTGATGACGTGAAAAATAATAACGGTAACTCCATTGAAATTATTCAAAACTAAAGTAACGAGCCAATTTTTTAAAATGTAAGGAGTAGAAAGTACAGATATTTGTGTAAAAATGTAAGGAGTAGAAGTAAAAAGTCGTCATAAAAATAAGTAGTAAAGTAAAGTAAAAATATCAGGAAAATCTACTTGAGTACAGTAACGAAGTATTTGTACTTCTTTACTTCCCATCTCTGCCATACACCATCAAGGTTAGAAAAGCGTGGAGGAGATTCCAGTAGACAGGCAGTTACTCTAGTAGAACTGGACAGGGCTGTCAGAGGTCCTTAACCTATCTGCAGGGCCACTAGCGTAAATGTCTGTGACCAAACCATTAGAAAAAGACTACATGATAGTGGCCTGGAGGCCAGTAAGCGATGTATTCACCATGAAGCTTGCATGGGATTTGTAAGAGAACCCATGAGTAAGCAGGGAGGGTTCTGAAGCCTTATTCTTTGCACAGGTGAGAGCTGTTTAGTGTGAGCTTCTGTGACAGTAATGAAAGGGTCTGACGAAGCTCTGGTGAAGGTTATGCAAACTGCAACATCATTGAGCTTGGATGGTTTGGTTGTGGAAGCACATACCTGTAGAGTATAAACAATAGGACCCTGACTCCTATTAGAACGCTCCCATCCATTTTTTTAATACTTACTGAGAATCATCCATTGCCATGTATAAAATGACAACCAGTCCTCACATCCCTAATAAAATATGAATAAATAAGTTATCATTAAGCTGCAAATACACATACACAAACACAGCACCTACTACATTTATTTAAAACACTAGAGTTGAACAAATGACAAACTAAAGAGACTGCATTAATGGACAGTTAATACGACCCTATGGTCTGCATAGTTATACCTCGTTAAGCTACACTACTCCTGCTTGCCAATGCTTTAAGTGACCATTTACACTAATCAAATCTATAAAAATGTGAAGGTACTTCTACAGAATTTCATACATTCATGGTCTCATAGCCTAAGGTTATGCCAGAGCTTTGCATAGACTAAGACCTTAAAAAAAGCTGAGTTATACTCTGCGAAAGAAGGATTTGTGCATGACATACCATGAAAGAGACTTAAACAGATCCACGGTTCCTGCTTAAAACGTATAATCTCAGGGGATCAAAAAGAGAACAAGACAAGAGAGATCATTTAAAGGAGAAAGGGAAACCAATTTTACAAGATTTAATAAAGCTGATCTAACAAAGAATAAGAAATTATGAAGGGAGCACCATTATTTCCCAGATGAAACAGCTTATCATTACTTGGAAAAGCTTCCAACAGTAAAAAAAAAAACGACGCAAAGCTTTTAGAACTATTTCTACAGATTTTGAATTTTATTTGACACTCTTAATCTTTCAAATTATCAAACTTCTTTTGCCAAAAGACAATAAGAAAACAAAGTTTTTTGTTTTAGTTTAATATCTTAAAAGAAACATGCTATTCAAAGCAACCTTCCCCAAAAGGTAAATTCTCCTCATCATGAATAACTAATTTACCAGAATCAATCAAATTTTTAGGGGGTTTAAAATTTCATCAGCTACACGGAGGTCCGATTACTGCCTAACATGAAGAATCAAGCAATCACTTTACAATATCCTGTCATTTGTGACATGGGTCAAGCAGACAAACCTAACAAAGCATCAGAAGAGGCTTTGATCTTAAACAAAAACAAACATGTATCAGTCTATATGGGGTAAATATGGTCTAAGGAACACATCTGAATGACTCAGACAAAGTTAATTAGTGTCTTATCTAAATTCTCGACTTTACTCATATTGAGATAGATTGGTATGCCCATAAACATACTCTCCATTCTTAACAAACACTTGCTGAAATTAAAGTAAAATCCCTCCACCCCAGTGTCTCACTGTCAGCTATCAGTTAAATTGTTTAGCAGTTTTTACTCTGATATTAAAGGTTCTGCACATAAATGCATATCAATAGGTGGCCACGTGCTTGTTACTGTTCAAGATTTTATCACCCACCTCCTGCAATGTCCGTCTCAGTCTTAAAAGCAGGGTTTTGACTGCTGTGCATTCCTGCTGCATCAGTCGGAGCGGAAGGCTCTCTGGCCCGGGAGGTAGAGGTTCTTCTTCCCTCCCTAAACCGGACCCAACGCTGCATTCAGCGGGCAGCAGGCTGGTTGGTCGGCTGAGTTCCCTAGAGAAGAGGGAAGGAGAAATAAAAATAAAAGAAGTAACAGCACGAACCAGCATGAAAACAGGATCATGGACCAAGCCTCAGCTCTCCCTGCTGCTGTCCTAGTTGCCATTTGGTCTGCACCGATAGTGGCGGCGATACATTCTACAATAATGTGGCTAAACCAGCTGTTTTGTGGGGTTCAAGTAATCCCACAAACCCCTTATTGTGCGTCACCAGCAAAAAAAAAAGACACTGTCCGGCTTTGTGACAAGTGTGAGTGTTTTAGGAGCTGTCCTTTTCGTTGCATGTTGTGTCCGTGAAAATGTGGTTTCTTACCAAGTATTCTGGCTTTCACTCGTAGTCCAAAAACATGACTGTTGCGTTAATTCATCACTTTAAAAGCTATCTAATAGTGTGTGTGGGGTTGCTTGTTCACACTGTGTCTGTATTGCCCTATGAGGGGCCGGCAACCTTTGAGGTGATAATCCCACCTCTCTCACAGAGACATCAGCTTGCCGACATTTCTAACAAATCAGCGGATACAAAAAGGATGGACATAAGGACGGTAAAATCTTATAACCATAAAACCCCAGAATCATTACAACACATTTATAGACGCATTTCTTGGTTTATGTTGTACTAAAACATATGTATACTGCAGCATACATTGTTTGTTTTATTACTTCTATGGAAACATTTACCCGGCAATCTATGTATAAAACTTTTAAAATATGTTTAAAGAAGATCAGGATCAGGATGATTCTACTGTTTATTTAACATATAAATGTTGTATTTGTATCTGCACATGATTGGTTCAGGGGTTTAGAGATAAAAGCCTGAAAAGACTGGTAAGAGAAAATCTAAGTAAAGTTTTTTCATACTTATTTTTGCTAATCCTACTGAAGTTTGTTGTGTAGTTTTGGCTCATTTATCTCTATTCCATGGCTCTTTATTGTCTGCACAAACTTGTTAAAAAGCAATTTATGTGATTTGCAAAAAGACCATAACAAATCATTAGAAACTTTTCTACATTTAATGTGGCATACTGGCTAAATATGTGCTTGGGGGAAAATGTAAAAAGAAAATCAAGTTGATACTCTGTGTAACATCTTTTGATTCAAACTTAAGAATCAGTCCTAATTTGTTCAAACTAGCTGATTATTATACTCCATATGCTTAACTTCAAATACAGATTCACTGTGCTGAAAATATTTATCTCAGACTTTAATCATCCTTTTAGAGCCATAGTTTCTAGATATGTTTAAAAGGGTCTGACGAGAGAAGCCGACACATTGCATATAATACAGGGCAGATTGATAGCGATTGATCTTTGGACAAAAAGTTTCAAGAAAATAACCTATGCTAAATGTAAATCTCCATCCCGCTTTTAATTCAGAGGAAATCACCAGCTGCTGCATCTACCTTTACTGCTTTGGGGGAGGGAGGGGCTTGCTAACTCTCTGCTGGCTGAAAATCGTAAACTCAGATCTGTGCCACCATGTGTTGTCCCCAAAGTCTCCAACAACAGTAATAGAAAAAATAATTAAAAATCCCAAGATTCGTCGCTAGTTGCTACTTAGAAAAAAAGCAGTCTCTACTTCCTGGTTCACCTAGTCTGTTTGTTCATCTGTTTGAGGATGGAAACCACACAACAGGCTGACTGAGCAGAGACAAAACTCCTTCCAGAACTGGGAGATGAACTGATGCTCTGTTACTCAGGGTTTTCTCAAACCAGTTGTATTAGATGTAGGCATTAGTTATGTAGGCAGGAAAGTTCTACTGTGGCAGTCTGTTACAATGGATCTGGAGAAGTCCTTGAATGACGACACCATGTAGTTGTTCATCAGTCTTATGTAGAGGATGCTCAAGATTGTACATCATGTTCTTCATTTTATGAAAAAATCCTCTTTGTGAATTCATCTCTAGAGGCTCCAAATGAGTTCCCAGCACAGAGCCTGCTTTCTTTATTAGGTCGTCAGACTTCTTTTAGCCATCTAATCATGAATAACATCTACTTTTAAAATGTCTGCCGTCAGACTATTTCCTATTTTGAAATACAAGTTACATTTTGCAAAAACCTGTGTGGGTCTAAAAATCTGAAATTAGGATTTAGTAGAATATGAAGTCCTGTCACATCTTTGAAATAGCTTTGAAAGTGTGTTTGGTGTAAAAGGCATGTGATTCACTAGGTCAGTTTTATTAAAAGCAGGGAACATTGCTTCTCTTAGGACATCTTGTGTTGCTTTTTCACTTATCTGGAATTCAAATTTTAATGGTTGATTGGTGCCCAGTTGATGTCAGATAAACAGTAGGTTTCAAATATCTATCATTTTGATATGATGGAAGCAAGAGGAGAGCATTTCATGAAATTTGTTTACCGTATTAACTAGGGTATAAGAGTAGCAAATGTGTCGATGTTGTGGCCCCTGGAAACCTTTGACTTACGCATGGCATCGGAAAGCTGCAGCACTAATGAGGTGGAACTTTTCAACGGGTCAAAAAAAAATAAACAACAGGCAGTTTGGTTTATATGGAGAAAAGATTGAATATCTTGCATTAGCAAATACGCAGTAAGTCGATGTGAGAGTCATTCCCCTACAGAATCTTCTTTTTATGCCATTTAAACAAAAGGCAGATACTATCGAGTGTGGTAGAGACAACTACAGCATTAATAAGAATAAACAATTCTTTCTATTTTCTAAACATTAAATTAAAGATACAGCAAAAGAATTCTGCCTCTGAATTTCTGTGCTCCAAAAAATAGTTTTCCAAAACAAAAGCACTAATTTCACAACATGTGATTCATGATATAAAGAACCTAGAAAATAATTTTATTTTTATGCAACCTTAATGCATGCATGAAAAACTCCCTACTAAATTGAGACTTTGACATCAGCATATAAACCTCCACTTTTTTATGACATTTTGAAAAGGTGAGCTGTGAAATACCACCCTCCTGTCTAAAAAAGCACACAGACACCCTCTGAGTTCATATTCTGCATAACAAGAGAGGGTGGAGAGGGAGTGATTGCAGTAAAGAGAGGCAGTCGTAGTAGCACGTGGAGCTCTTTATCATCAGGCGAGCATGTTCGCTTTGACTGATGGCCATTTAGAGGAGGGTGAGAGGAGATGAGAGGCCTTCTGTCTCATTCTCCCAAGAAATGACCAAGCAAACAGCAGCAGGGGGTGTTAAGTCAGACAATAAATTCCATTGAAAAGCCATTTTTTGGGACCAAAATAAGACAATAAAACAAAAAAGAAACATAAATCACCTGGAGAGATGCAAAAGTGTACATCCTGCAAAGGTCTAACTGAATTGGTTCTTTTTATTTTGGTCTTTACCAGTTCAGCGAGTTACCACATCTTTTTCTTCCCGCTACCCAAGCTCGCCCCTCCTCCACTTCTCCTCAGGCCTTGTCTTCCTACTCTTTAGTTTTCCCTCAGCCCATCTGCCACCCATTTTAGTTGTGACAACCACTGCACAGAGCTGATGCAGTATCAAAGCCTGAGGTAGCCCTCTGGGGATTCTGCTGAGCTTCTCAGACAAATGTCGAGGAAACAGACATCCTTTTGAGGACAGGTGAACAGTGTCTGTCAAGAGGCTGTGGGTGTTTATGTCCCCACTCTAAAACAGTAATGTTTGTAGTGTTTTGATTCAGTTTGACATCCCTGGATAAGGTGAAATATCGGAGTGTTTTCTCTTTTGCCCCACATGCTATTCAAGAGGGATGAGTTGAGGGAGAATAAATGACAAAAGATCAGTCATTTTTTTCTTCTTTCTGAGCACTGTGTCAAATAGCTCTGCAGCACAAAAATAAAGTTTCTCTGCCCCTTCTGTGAAAAGGTTTTGTATTTTGTTTTAAAGTGTCTGAAAGGGTGACAAATTTACCCTTTGTCTGATTTGTACAAAGGTGGAAGTTGAAGTTATTTTTCTGTGTATAGCACTCTAAATTTTCCATAATAAATGACTTAGCTGTTTCACGGCACTTTACCTGTGACATTTCTGACAATCAAGCCATGTTGCTGATGGTTGAAATTAGTTAAACTGCAATAGGAAAGACTGAAAAAAAAAACCCACTAATGAAAGGATGTTTTGTCACGCAGCCTATGACCAAATTAATCTAATTCTGTTTTATTTTCATTTTGTTTTTATTACTATAAAGAACCACAAAGAAAAGTATATTTCATAGCAGCACAATATAAAGCTTAAATCAGACCGCAGCACCAAAATATCCCCTTTGTTTAATTATGCCCCAAAAATCGGTCCATTTTAAAACACTATTTTAGGACATTCACAAGCATGTTTACTGCTGTTCCAAGATTAAATTGCTTATCTAAATCTCCTTTATTTCAAGACTCTAGTAGCTTTGCAATGAGCAAAGCTAAAATGGTTTAAATGTCAGTGAATTTAACTCTAGAACAGTTCTCTTCTCTGGCTGAAAGATATATTTAAGACTCATGAGCTGCCTGACTAAAATTGCACAGAGCAAACTAGTATATAAAAAAGATATTGTATTTTGGAGCTTACATAAGAGTTATATATGTTGCATAATATTATTTGCATGTAAAGCATATTGCACTATTTTAGAGTTCATTAAAAACGGTTTCAGCACAGTCTGTTTAGACATTAATAATGCGTTGCAAAGGACTTGTGCTGAGAATTGGTTTATGTTGGTTTTTCTTTAGCGTGTAAAGTTAAAGGAGACATGAGTACACAACGGGCCAGGATTGGGGTATGTGGTTATAACATTAAAATATGTCAAATAGTCAAGCATTGTGCTGACTTGTGAAAAACACTGTACATAGTTACAAACACTATGTACATGACCGGCTACCTTCGCATTCATTTTTCAAAGCCTCTTCCTGTCGATCAAGGGCGACAGTTTTTCCACAATCTGATGATAGCTGAGCTAAATTCTAACATGTGTCTAGATGCATGCATTTGAGAACCCTGATGCACGCTCACTCACCCACAATGCTTTTCTGCACAGACCTGTCCGCGTAGATAAAAGTTTTCC